CATTACCCATTCAAGCCGTCTCCAACCATTAAAGGGAAAATAGTTCGTGAAATCAAAACATAGATTTTATTCATTTCATTAAAAAGTTATCATCTTTAGAAATGTAAAAATAATTCAAACATTAATTAAGTAATTTCAAGCAGCCTAAGAAAATAAGTATTAGGGGTTAATATTATATAAAGTACCTCTATAGAACGTAACTCAATCTGTCATATTAATATTTTATATTAATTTCTTATCTTACGGTCGAACTGGCCATTTATCCACCGTGAAGGAGGCCGCTAATTTAGCCATGAGGTTCTGGCTTAATATTATACACAGGCTCTCTATAGAATCTACCTTCTGTCTAGCCAAATTGATATTTTATCTCATGTTCCTATCTTACAAGATAATATTATACACAGGCTCTCTATAGAATCTACGTTCTGTCTAGCCAAATTGATATTTTATCTCATGTTCCTATCTTACAAGATAATATTATACACAGGCTCTCTATAGAATCTAACTTCTGTCTAGCCAAATTGATATTTTATCTCATGTTCCTTTCTTACAAGATAATATTATACGAGTGCAAAAAAGATAATTTACAGTCGAACAGAACGTTGATTCATAGTGAAGAATGTTCTTAGTTCAGGCACGAGGTTTTGACTTGACTAAATAACTTAGGGGCCTAACTTGATGGCTAATTCCATGAAAACTAGCTAACTTGATTTAGTTGTAATTTTTATACTACATTTTTCTAATTCTACCATCACAGATGATCATATATTAAGCCTTTGTTTTTGCTGGCGTGAGGTGATGCTCAAGGTAGCTAGTAAGTTATCCAGGGACGTTTTCATTAAATACCATTCTGGTGGGATTAGTAAGATCCTGAAGCGTTGACAGCTTAGTCTACCCCTTAAGCATTCATTATCTCACTAATTAAAGTCTCAGTTATTTCAGTCCATCCTCATACTGCAATCTCCCCTTTAATACTTCTTCTTTTAACATGTCCATTTCTTTATATCCTCAGTGTAAGATGCTGACCATCATTTACTCACTAGTGTGCTTTAGTATGTCACCTGCTACAATAACCGATCCTCAAATGTTGAATTCAATAAAACTCTTTAGCTTGAAAGTAATTACCAAAAATATGTTGATCCACACTAAGCTATTTGATATGTAAATATTTCTTCAATTTGCTACCCCTTCTTTGATGTTGGGTATAAGTGTATTCTTAAAATGATATCAACGTAAGTTCGTAATGTGAAACATTTCAAATCAAATTAGAAAATTGGATCACGATCATTTGTTGATTACGTTTAACAAGCTTACACATAACAAGCTTATCCAGCCATTTTGGTGATTAACCAACGTCTATTGACACTCTTGTTATATAAACGAGTGCCCATTATCATGCCTCTTTTTAAGTCTTACAGATTCGTGCTCTTGCCCATTATGTTGCAGAACAATAGTAATAAGACTGTATTTCTGCATTTACAGACGTAGGCTTTCACTTAATATATCACATAACCAGTTACTATATACAAGTGTTTAGAAAGTTTGTCACATGAGTGCAGGGAGCCTTCATAAAGTGCCAGACAGTGTAGCTGCAACACATACAATACAATGTATATGTTTTTATCATAAATAAATGTGTTGTCCTTTCATTAAATTATACTTTATGGGACTTACTTAAATTTCTAATTTGAAAAGTCCATTCTGTGAGCAAGACATGAATCACATTTGAGTGGCTGCTAATTCATTCTGGCTTTCATCAAATATTGCTAAAGGGCCTGAAGAATTCCAAATGCAGTAGCATCAACACACTTTATCAAACAAACCAAAGTATCCATTTTTAATAAACTCATAAGCTGCATTGGTTGGGATCAAATTAGAAAGTTCATAACTTGGAACCCACTTTCTGTATCAATACAACCTACTTCCAAAATGAAGATAGATACTACCAACAACAAGAAGGATTGGCCATAAACTCACTCCTGTAACCAATACTCAGTAACCTGTACAGGGAATATTTCGAAGTTAACGCCCTCAAAACAACCACTATGCCCAAAGATTTGGCTCATTTGGCTAATATATGTTGCTGATACATTCGTAATATAGTCACACGC